CTGTGGTGTAAATATGTGAAGCAGTACAGTGTTGACAGCTATGGTGTAAATACGTGAAGCAGTACAGTGTTGACAGCTATGGTGTAAATACGTGAAGCAGTACAGTGTTGACAGCTATGTTGTAAATACGTGAAGCAGTACAGTGTTGACAGCTATATGGTAAATATGTGAAGCAGTACAGTGTTGAGAGCTATGATGTAAATACGTGAAGCAGTACAGTGTTGACAGCTATGTTGTAAATACGTGAAGCAGTACAGTGTTGACAGCTATATGGTAAATATGTGAAGCAGTACAGTGTTGACAGCTATGTTGTAAATATGTGAAGCAGTACAGTGTTGACAGCTATGTTGTAAATACGTGAAGCAGTACAGTGTTGACAGCTATGGTGTCAATACGTGAAGCAGTACAGTGTTGATAGCTATGTTTTAAATATGTGAAGCAGTACAGTGTTGATAGCTATGTTTTAAATATGTGAAGCAGTACAGTATATTTAAAGAAGGGCGTATGTACTCTATATTTATAGATACCTTGCTTTTTTTTAGAGAAAAGACTTAAGTTTCCAAATTGGTTTGAAATGTTAAAGTTTAAAGACACATAAAACAGTTTTAGTGGTTCTGTGAAAAGTGCTTAGAGAACTTTGAAAGCCAGAAATACACCTAGTAGTTTATATATGTATGACATCTTTAAAATTAAGCCTGGCAGGCAAGTAGTTAAGTTGGGCTTCATGTAAGAATTGTCTATTTTGATGTTATAAATATTATTGATGCCCTTGTAATGATTTTTATTGGTTTATTGTTGGCTTCTTTAATGTTTAAGGAATTTAAAGTTTGCAGTTAACTTGTGTAGAACAGTTGCATCTGACATTAAACATAATAGTTAATGTAATTTTTAGAGTTTAAAGGTAATTTATGAATGTAAAAATCTCAACTCCGTTTTCTTTGTGTTGTTTTAGTTTAATTTATGTGATACTTAGGTAGCACGCTATAGAAATATAATTTTTTGATGCGAGATTTTACTTTCTTAATCTTGGAATAATATAAGAAATTAAAGAAATAATATACATTGTTTTGGAATTTTCTGAATGATTTTATAATATAAATAAAAAAAGCTATCGAAACATTTTTTTTACTCTTAACTAAACTTAAAAACTTGACTGATGTGAAACTTGAAAAAAAACTAAGTTGGGAACCTAAATTAAAATTAAGTAACATTACAAATGTTAATTTTTATCATAATTATATTGGGCCAAGAGTGGCCTGCTAGTAAGTGCTTCTGGACTGTGAACCTGTGGATTCAGGTTTATGTCTTGTTGCTGTAAAAATGCACTTCACACTTTAAGTCCTATGGATGTGTTCTGAATTTGTAGGTCAGATCCCACTGTTCAGTCAGAGAAGAGTAGCCCAAGAGTTTGCAGTGGGTACTGTTGGTTAGCTATATTTCCTGTAGTGTATCAGGTCAACATTAGCAACAGCTGTGCAGAAATATTCCCGGTCAGATCCCACTGTTCAGTCAGAGAAGAGTAGCCCAAGAGTTTGCAGTGGGTACTGTTGGTTAGCTATATTTCCTGTAGTGTATCAGGTCAACATTAGCAACAGCTGTGCAGAAATATTCCTTTATGTAGCTTTTGTTGAAAACCGTAAAAAAAGAAGGGGAGGAGGAGATCTTCGTACATTTAGTTTTAAAAACTTAAACTACAACTTTTCTCCCTCTGACAAGAATCTGAGTATATGTTTTCTCTACAAAACTTTTATGATAATATTCTGTTGAAATTTTAAATATATGTGTAATTTCTATATTTTAGCCTCCTCCAAGAGCTAAGGTGAAAAAGGGAATTTTTTCATGGTTATCAGACTCCATAGAAAGCAGAAAAAGTAGCCATAAGGTAAATACTAAAAAATTAAGTAATTAAGGTTATGATGATCTCGTTATAAGTTTCTTTTATTTTTATTTTATTTTTTTTGGCTAAATACTTCTTACCTGTCATGATTAGAAACCTATATGATCACCTCAACCTAATTATTAATTAAAGATTTTGTGACATAAGAAATGAATTGTATGAAAAAAAAAAAGATTTAATTATCATAGTCAATAATTAAAAATTCTAATTATGAATGAGTAAATATATTGGACTAAAAGCATTCCTTCACGGAAAATATTTTGAGGGAATATAATGTATATGCATTGTATTTCTGGTTGGGCTGGCTTATGACAAGTTATAAATATTTGATATTCTCCTTATTCTATTCAGCATTAGCATAATAACCATAAATTTTGTATTACATTTTATGACGATTTTATGACTTATAGAAAGAATTGCTTATGTTTATTTTTGGTTTAAACAGTCTAGTGTTAACCTATATTATATTACCAGATCTTGCTGGGTTATTTTATGACCATCATTAGTTGTGAAAATACAACAATCATTAAATGATGAAGTATAAACACACTAAAAAATTATATAACTGCTTGTTTTACATTGTTTTTTGTTATACTCAGCAATTGACAATTTTGTTTTTACATCAAAAATATCATTAAATATAGACCTGCACTGTTGTTATGGGTGTTTAATAGTTATTGTTTTGTTTTATTTTTTCCACATATATTTAGACACATTTATGTATTTATAGTTAAGTATTTTTTGTTTGTATTTTCATGTCTTTTGTTTTCATTCCTCCAATATAATTTACAATTTTCAAATGAAAAATTGTAACATTTTAGACCATTCTGTTTTTCTTTTTTACATAAATTTCATCCTTCACCAAATGTAACGCTTGATGTCACTTGATTTTCTTTCTGCTTGTAGATAGAACTGAAAATCAAATCTCATACAACCATTGTTACAATTTGTACTAAGAAAAATGTATCAGATTTTTAAAAGTATTTAAACTTCAAAAAAATAAATTTGTATTCCAACGATTTAGTTGACTGGTGGAACAACAGTAAGTTTATGAACTTACAACTCTTAAAATCTGTAGTTCAATTCTCTGCAGTGGATACTGCAGATAGCCGATTGTGGCTTTGCTCTGAAACAACCAACCAATCCATTGAAGTGTGATAACAGAAAATATTAAGTGAAAAATCATTCAAAACATTTTCTTAAATCTAACTTTTGTTTTGTTGTACCTCCAGTTCTTTAACAGTACTTTGTATCAGATTTCAATCACTGAATCAGTAAAGAAAGTTGAATTTTAATCATGGTAAATTTTTAGACTGAGCAATAGATAAGAATTCCACTTGTGTGCCCATTCATGACTTCTGGAGTGTCTACTTAAAAAGATTTTTGTGATTGAAATTTTTATTCAGCTAAATGCTTATCTCAGTATTCAGTTTTTGTTTTCTTTTAAGTTATCAATAATATAGTGTTTTAACTCGAGCTTTATCATGATAATTGTATTGATTACTTTGTTATATTTTTAATAGAGATGTGTTTCTTGAAGAAAAATAACTTACTTTTAAGCAAGAATTGCTGTTATGTTATATAAATCATTAAAACAATGTGTATGTACATACTTTTTGTAAGTTTTGTAGCTAATATTTCATATTTATCAGGACTGCGAGGAGTACTTTCAGAAGGAGAGAGATTGGGCTAATCAGTATTCTGCTTATATGAAGGAAGCTAGTCAGGTAAATAATATCAAATGTTTATGATGTTGACAATCCATATTAAAGATTATGCATGGGGCGGTTCAAATGTAATGATTATTTCATTACTGTTTAATAGTCTTTAACCTCAAAACACACATGATCTTTTAATTGGTGGTGTGAAATGTGATTTTTCTAAAAATTACTGATTCAAAACCTGTAGAGAACTGTTAATTAGAATGAATATGAAGAAAGAATATCTGTTTTGGGGCATAAAGTAAAGATCTTAAAGATGTCAGACAGTTAAAAACACAATACGTTTGTATTTAAGTGCTGTAGAAATATAAGTTAAAATTACGGTCAAGTCATTTTTCAAAAATTTGCCCCGGCCCTGCAAGCTCCCAAAGTTTGTGTAACAGTCAGCCTTTGCGATCACTTGGTTGAAAAATTTGGTTAGAGGTGAATGATGTCACTCAAGGTAAACAAGGCCAGTCGTGGTTGGCTTCCTCTCTGTGCGTTATTTTGTGTGTTGAAAACTGTCAATTTATTTATGTGAAAACAATTCGTTTTTTTCTGGACAAATTTCAGTTGACAGGTGTTGTGAATACAGTTATTTGTGAGTAAATAACTATGGTTTTTTTCTGCTGTGTTGTTTATGGATGTGGGAATATTCCCAAGGAAAAGAAGATATCTCTGCATGAGTTTCCAACTTAGTCAGACAGAAAATGGCACATGGCCTAGTCTAAGTTCCGATCAAGAACTCATGATAAATGAAGTTCAATGGAAAGCAGCCATGTAAGCAGTAAACACTTTTTGGAATTAGACCTTGAAAATAAACTACAACTTGATATTGGATTTGCAAAATAACTGGTGCTAAAGAAAGATGCAGTGTCCAGTATGTATCTAGGGAGATCCATCAAGCACAGTGAGCAGCAAGCAGCTGATCGGACACGATTATAATCTCTGTTTGTTTTTGAATTTCGCGCAAAGCTACACGAGGGCTATCTGCACTAGCCGTCCTTAATTTAGCAGTGTAAGACTAGAGGGAAGGCAGCTAGTCATCACCACCCACAGCCAACTCTTGGGCTACTCTTTTACCAACGAATAGTGGGATTGACCGTCACATTATAACGCCCCCACGGCAGAAAGGGCGAGCATGTTTGGTGTGACGGGGATTCAAACCCACGACCCTCAGATTGCGAGTCGAGTGCCTTAACCGCCTGGCCATGCCGGGCCTTATAATCTCTGTTATCGGTCTGTGAACAAGATCGTGATGTGCCACTGTCACAAAAATGAGAGGCATACAGGGTAAGCCCAACTTTTAGCTAATGTTTTAAATGCAATATAGAATTGTCTGCAATCAGTCAGGTTTTATAAACTCACCAGTAGATCTGTTAAAACGAAAAATGTTTATGAAATTTCACGTTCAGCTATTATTTACCAAAAAAAAGGCATGGACAAAGAATTGTCTGTTTTGTTTATTTATTTTTCATGTTTATAACACTTTTTAATGAAATCTCATTGGAGATATCAATATGCAACATATAGATCTAACAATATCAAGTATTGAAATGTGACCACAGCTATGTTTGCTTTCCCAGTCCTAATGTATACTTAATCATATGCATACAAGTTGGAGCATGTGCAGAATACAGTATCAGGAGTCCATCAGCTGATATTAGATCTACATCTACATATAGATCCATCATTTGAAAAAAACAAATATTGACAAGAATTTACTCATAGATTTACTATATTATCACCCGTGTGACCATATTGATGGCTATAAATTTTGTCCCAGTTTTTATGACATTGTAGCATATAACTTTTGAAACAATTCCATACCAAGAAATATCAGACAACCAACAGTTCTCGTCCACTTTGGTCAACATTAAACATGTTATTATCTGCAGGCTCTGGTTCAAACATTTAAGCTGTGATTGACACATTGTATCTACCTTCTTCTTCACCCGTTGTCACCATTTTTGTTTACCTTGTGTGATGTAGGCTTGCCTGTTCAGTTCACCGTGTGGTGCTTCCGCTAGTTTTTCTTAAAGCTAGCCAACTATGACCAAATATGGCTTGGAGCCACATGAGCCTGAGTGTTTCATGACTTTTTTAATTGTATTATTTTTTGTGTGATACAATATACACACATTCAAACATGAAAAAATGCCATATTGTCTCTGGTCTTTAATTCCCTGATCAGACTTTTTTTTTAGGCGTGTGTGCATGCTTTTTATATTATATCCTGTGCTAATTAAAATATTCTTAAAGTTTTTAGGGATATAATTAGAGATTCAAACACTGATAAAGAAATGATAAAACAATACTGAAAATGTAACTGAACTCAGAAGTAAGCACATTTTAGTATTTCTTTTATATTTCTAATGCTGTAATTTTTTTAGCTTAGAAATACTGGTATTAGTTTAAAAATTTTAACTGGAAAAAGTTGTGGGTGACTGACATATACTTGAAATAAAGTAATATCAGTATTTTTAAATTCATCTTAATGTTTCTTGAAGTACATTTATATTTTGTTCATAGTAGGAAATATGTGGGGAATCTTGTACGTTTAAACAAGTTTCAAAGGGTTGAGATAGTTTGGTGAGGGACTATGATGTGTGGGCTCAAACTTGGTGGTTTTTGTAATAATCTGTTTGGAGATTTGTTTTAATAGAATTTGTCTAGAGGTTATTGATCAAAGCTATTAAACTATCATAAACATTTCAGTTAACTTGTGCTTCCATTACTATATCCTGTGTTATGAGATTTTTGTTATAACCCAAAACTTTGTATTCAGTCAAATACAATAAGGTCATAGTCCAAACTATTATTACGTATATTTGTTGTACTGGGCTATAATTGTAATGTATTATTTTGTATTTTCTATTCAGGCTTTTAATGGAATTATTTATGCTCAACAAAGTAAGTTAATTTATGTTTTTTTACTTGTGTTATAGTTTAAATATATGAACAGTTTTTGTTGGAAGACAAGATAATAGTTTCTCCATTTTAGCTCTAAATCCTATTGAAGAAAGTTTTTACATATTAGATTTACAATTTTCTAACTGGTATCATTCTTTTGCATTTTTATGTGTAATGTATTTGAAATCCCCATGACAATAAGTATTATTTGTCATATACTCGTGGAATAATGAAAAATATATCCTTCAAATAAGTGCTTTGTTTACTTGTTGGACTCTGTTACAGTAAAAAAACAAAAAAAAACTGAGTGGTAGAAATCATATAACCCTTGAATTAGAGAGTTTTTTTTATCATTCAATATCGGTGGGATTCATATATTGACAACACCAACTTTAAAGAGCAGGTTAGACTCGTCATGGCCAGGTGGTTAGAGCGCTTGACTCGCAATCTGAGAGTCGCAGGTTCGAATCCCCATCACACCAAACATGCTCGCCCTTTCAGCCGTGGAGGCATTATAATGTGATGGTCAATCCCACTATTCGTTGGTAAAAGATTAGCCCAAGAGTTGGCAATGGGTGGTAATGACTAGCTGCCTTCCCTCTAGTCTTACACTGCTAAATTATGGACAGCTAGCGCAGACAGCCCTCGTGTAGTTTTGCGCGAAATTCAAAAACAAACAAACAAGAGCTGGTTAAAAGAATAGGATAAAAATTACCCATTTTCTGTGTAATGTATTCAAGGGCACCCTAGCAATAGTTAACTGGAATACTGACATTATTTTTAAATTTTTGTGACCCTATAATCAGTAAAGTCATGCACCTAAAACAGGTTGGTGCACAAATAATTGTAAAAGGTCCATGTAAAAACAAAGTAGGCAGATAGAATCCATATGAATACCATTGGTAATTTTAGGGTTAAACTTACCATTTGTAAAGCTTTAAATTTTTGATTTCTGTAATAAGTTATGCCACACTGGCTTTCCAGGTTTAGTCCCACAATTCACTTCTTGTGATTTTATAAAATAATAATTTTTACTAGAAAGCGAGTAATGTCCACCTTGCTCATGACATGTAGAAGTGAAAGTTGGAACCAAACACAACTAGAAGAGATAAATTTCCTTTACACCTTACAACTTTAGCAATATTGTCAACACTCATAACTGGAAAACTTTAAAACATCCTTGAAAGAATAATAAGAGCAAGGAAGTGGTTTTAAGTTCTTCTACCTACTTACCTGGTACAACCAGTGAATGAAGACTGAACTTTATTGCATTTAAAAATTACTTTTCTTAGAGAACACATGTTTGACAAGTGGGTTTATGTCATATATATGGTTTCAATTTTCACTTTAAGTTTTGAAATGGGTGAATAAGTTTATGGATCATTCATCTGTGGTATTAATTCTATCATTTTTTCTTTGGTAAAGTTGCAATGCAGAAAGAACATATTCCAAGGGATTGTAGAAATTTCGTTTTCTAAAGTAATGATAATGGAAAGCAGAGAAAGTTTTTTTTTTTTCACTATATACAATAAAATGTTTATGAAGTATGTGTAATAGATATTGAGAAGAGTACTTTTATATTACAAGTAAAGCACAAAAGTTATTAAATAGTGGAAATAAAAATGTTATTTTCTAAATTTGGTGCTATAGTTGAGACTCCTCTTCAATGTAACAGGCTTATCTTAAAATATCAAATATTTCTTTTCATTTATGTAGGGCTAAGTGGGGTGCTAGGACACCTCGCCACAGCACTCACTCTTAGTACAGGGAGCAACGATGAAATAAATAAATTGACCCACAGGTAGAGTGATGTAGTACATTTTATAAATTTAAGTTAAGGTGGCATTGAGATATTGAATAAAACTGTACTCTGTATGAGAGAATAATAAGGTTTGTACGATAGGTTTTTTATTTGATAAAATATGGATGAAAATAAAGTATCTTTGTAGAACAGGATCATATTGTTTCTTATGATATTTTATTTTCAGTTATCAATTTTTCGGATGTTGGTTCTTGTTCATGGATTTCAGCATATAATACAACTATACAAATCTTTCAAACTCACATTTTAAAATAAAGTATCCTTATAGAAGAGGATCATATTGTTCCTTATGATATTTTATTTTCAGTTATAAATTTTTCAGATGTTGGTTCTTGTTCATCTTTGTATAGTTGTATTATATGCTGAAATCTTTTTGAAACTCACATTTTAAAATCGAAAGATATGTCTTTGTTACGATTTCAGTATTATACGATTGTGTTAAACAAAAAGCTACGTCAGTGGATAAGTTAAATACCTTTATGTATGAATTTTGTTGTCTATATTTGTATCTTGTCATCATTAGACCTCACTAGGAAAGCCTTAAATATTATGAATGGATAACATTGGTCATTTTACATACGAGTTTACTGGAATCTCAATTTTTTTAGCAATTTGTTTTGCCGTTCTTTGAATATTCTTGTTCCTTATCATATTTCAGTCATTTTTTTATTATTCATAATGTGTAGAAAGAATATCCTATGAATTCTTTTTTTTCAAGATAGTAGAGTAATGAATTAGTCAAAATTATTTACATCTCAGTCTGCAAGTCAGGGAGACATGTTTGGTCAGTTGGTTCCTAACAATAGCTTTCTGTTACTCTCTTGTTTGAATTTAGAATATATATATATTTGAACTCTACACAATACCTTGAATATGAATTGTCCATCAGTGTGGCTGAATTCACTATTGTTTCCTGGTTGTGAGGGAGTAAAACCCATATCATTTTCCAAAGTCCTATACAAAATATTGTAGTGACTGCACACGTGTAATATTACACGTGTGCAGTCACTACAATGTTTTGTACTACAATGTTTTGCTACTACAATGTTTTGTATTACACGTGTGCAGTCCATTACACGTGTGCAGTCATTACACGTGTGCAGTCACTACAATGTTTTGTCGTGTAATACAAAACATTGTAGTGACTGCACACGTGTAATACAAAACATTGTAGTGACTGCACACGTGTAATACAAAACAATGTAGTGACTGCACAGTCCTATACAAAACATTGTAGTGACTGCACGTGTGTAATACGAGATCTTGTTCCTCAGTTCTATAAGGTTATTAACTCTGCAGTGTTTCCACAAGTTATGTTGATAGAGATGGTTGAGGAAGATTCATTGAAACTTTCCTGCCACTGTTAGGTAGTTAAGTGTGGTATCTGCTTGAATATTAATATTTATACTATTTTGTGCAAGACAGACACATTCTGGCCAATCCCCTAAATTCTGCATCTTTGTGGCAGAATGCTATTCAGAGGTGAGTTCTTTTAGCAGTAAAGTGTGTTTTTTTTGTTTTTTTTAACAGAGCTATTTATCAGAATACATTTTAAAGAGTTCTGACATGAATACCAGAAACTGTAACATCCCTCTGTAGCCCACTCATTCCTCCTTGAATTCTCTTATTGACTCACAGACTAGGTATTAAAAGGGTAGAATTCCTCTGAAAGATGGGTTCTTGATGAAGAAAGATGCAGTGAAATACTTGAGTCTTCTAGATTATTTTTGTTAAGGTAGAGCATTATCGGTAAATCTGAAGGTTAGAGCATTATCAGTAACTCTGAAGGCAAAATGTTTGTTAAAATAAAAGTTCTTTTTTAATTACCTAGAGTGTAAAGGTTGTTTTTTTCTATCTTTTTTTATCAAACCTGTGTACAGTGAATCATCACATTTTGTTCAACGCTTTATGTCTTTTGTTTGTGTATTTGAAATAAAATTAAATCAATAAGCTCTTTCTCTTTGAATCAGTTTTTTTGGAATTTCTTCTATTATATCTGCACTTGAGAATATTTCTTACAGCCTAATTTAATACAAATGTTTTATTTACTTCAGTTTTGTGTGTGTGTGTGTGTGTATTGTATATCTTTTTCAGTGTACTAACATAAATACAAGTGAATCATTTCAAACAGAATTTTCTTTTCAGGCTGTGTACTAAGTTTTCTGAATGTCTGGAAGAAGTTAAGGTAAGAATAGTTATTAATTTGTGACTCATCATCTGTTTTTTATTGTAAATATAATGATGAATTATCATAGGATTATCTTGACATGAAGATATAGTGTAGTACACATTTCTAAATCTTTATCTGCATTTCATGAAGTGTAAGCAACTATTTAAGCAATAACGTTTTCCAAAAGAAGGGTATGGCTATGCTATGAACTAACTTACCACCCAGTTGATGACTTGTGGCAACTTAGTGATGAAATACAGCTAAATAATTAATTTTTACTGACAGTTATTTTCTGTAGTACTCAACTTCGTTGGATTTTCATTCCAAGTCAATTCCACTTTTTATTTTTTAATATTTGAAGGAACCCATGATTAGGAACTGGTTTAATAGGAAATTACTATTAAACCTCTTAGTTCTGTCCATGAACTAGTAATAATTGAGCAGCGTCTGAGAAATTATCTTAATTATAATTGTATAAGAAGAGCTTTAATCTTAAAGAACTGGAGAAATATAAATTTAGACTTAGGAATTTCTATTGTGTGTGTGTGTGTATTGTGAGCACTTTATATGTATATATATATATATATATATATATTTGATACAATTAAGCATGATAATTTTTTAGCAACCTTTGGAATTTTGCCTTTTTGACCATCCCTGTGTTGGAGATGGATATCATGATTCATATGAAAATGGGAGTATAATTTTGTAGCTTGTTAACCAGCTGATAGTTAAATAGAACATGTTTGTGACAAATTTGGATCATGTTTTTCTTTAAATCTTTCCAAGATACCACATTTACAATTGTCTAAATGTCAGAATATCCATCAAATGTCAAATTAGCTGAGGTTAAGAAAGCTGAATGTGAGTAAAATGCAATTTTTCTGGTTGCATCACGTGACAATATTCATCTGTCGATATTTTTACAAAATTACAAATTGTTTCGTTTTTCCAATGGTAGTACTTAAACATGCATTTGTAACAAATTGAGAAGAAGTGAGAAAATTTATCCAAAGAAACAACAAGGTTAGATTCAAAGAAATTAGTAAGGATCTAAAAATTGTAAATCTTATGATAGTTTTTGGAAACTGGAAATATATAAATTTTATTGTCATTTTAAGTCAATAATTTTATTTTTTAATTTGTTGAAAATACAGAATCCTCATAGGGCTTTGCCTTTTTTTTGCTCCCATTCCACGAGGTTCTGTTCTGGACTTAGTTGGTGGTCTGCAGCCCCAGACTCCTCCAGCTTTTTCAAAATCCCCTGTGCTTGTACGAGATAATTGGAGTAACAAGGAATATACTTGTTTTAAACTGTAGATGAATGGCTTGGAGCCACCTAATTAGTTTATCCCAGTGATTGAATGCTACTAGAAAGGAATTTTGTAAATATTTTGTGTACGAAGTATCTGTAGATATTTTTAGATTCTGACAGCTGTGTAAGTTGACAGATCAAAATTTGTTGAATTTATTAAGCCAGGTGTAAAGTATTTATTGCACTGTAAATAATAATGGATTACAAGGTTTGCTTGGCTTTTTTTTTTAATATCTTGTTTTGCTAACTGTTCATATTTTATTTTTCCTTCCATTGCTCTCTCCCCCCCAGTGGCATGTCTGCAGACTTACAATGCTATAAACTTGGTATCGATACTCATGATAGGCATAGCATAGCTCATTCTGCAGCTTTCTGCCTAACTGTAAACAAACTTACTATTTCCCCATGAGTAAAAGATAACAGGTGCATAAGAGAAGTAATGATTTAATTCCTGCCAAGTGAATGTTCTGACTGAGTAAAAACCTGTACTGTAATTTTTTTCACGTTTTTGGTATGGATTGCTACAGAATAGTAATATGCTACCTCATGCGGTGTGAAATTGTCTTGCATTGTTTATCTGAAGAAGACTACCTTACCTTTAATGTTTTTTGCCACTTCTCTAACCAAGAGTGTCATAATATAACCAGTTATGTTTAGTTTTATGGATGAACATAACATGTTTAACTTCAATTAATTTCAGAATGGCTTGGAAGAGATATCTTATAGTGATGATAGCACACTTGGCGACTATTTTGAACTGTATACTAGGTACTTGGAAGCAGAAAAGGTAATTAGTTATACCTCTCACAGTATTTTATACTGAATATATTACTTCATCCTATCCAGTATTATTTGTGTGAAATGAAGTTCAGGTGATTATATTTATGGCTTGACTTAATATACGTGTTTAATTTTATTCAGTATCAAAATAAGTGTGCTAGTTGTGAATCTTTGGCATGCATGTAGTATTGTCCACTACAGTTAATCAAGGTGTTTACGCTTCAAACTTGATTGATTAAAATAACATAAGATTTTACACACTCAGGTTTTTACATTGCTACTTGTAATACCTTGCTTAACAATAGTTGAAACAGGTTTTACACTTGGAACGTGGTGTATGAGTAGCAAAATTGGTTGTAGTTAAGCCAGATTTTCAAATTTAATACTGATTATTAGCAACATTGGGTTTGACAGATCATAATTTGAATGAAAGTGCAATCTCTTTAAGCTGAATGTGGAGGTTTTGTACTAACGTACTGGAACCTCATAGAATTTATTTTTATTATGGTTTTTTATAAATATTAACATAAGATAAAAAATATATTTCAAATTAAAATTTGTTTATGAAATAAATATTTTGAGCTTAGGCAGTCGTAACTGTATCAATAATAACAACTGTCTTGTATATCACGTCTGCAGTCCAGTAATAGTACCTCAGTTTACCTTGACTGGTCCACGTCAGGTGGAAGAAAGAACTCTGATTTTCTGGTTATATTACACTGGATCATGCCAAACTAGGCTCCTAGTTTTTATGTTTGATTATATGATATGCCAGTAACTTTGTGTATAGAGTCATCTAATTAGCTTTTAAGCACGAAAAGTTATATAATTTATAGTTTAAATGTGGTGTTATTTATATCATATTTCTCTGACACAAAACCATTCACATTTCACTTAACAAAAATGTGTTTTTTCACAGGAGATGTTGTTTCGACGAACTTGTCTTCTAGTCGCCTATGAAAATTCAAACAAGGCCTTGGATAAAGCAAAGCCCAACAAAAGAGAAGCAGTAAGTATAATTGTAATATCATTATTGTTAATAATTTTTCTCTCTCTTTTTTTTTTTGTGTGTGTGAAAAAAACATTAAATTTTATATTTGATCAGATTCTGAAGACAGAATATAAAGAAAGACATTCTATGTGATAAAAAAAAAGCTTAGTTATTACTGCTGAAACAGTGAACATATGTGGAGAAGTAATGCTTTGCAGCTGAAAATATCTCCTAATTTAATTCTATTTGTACTGAAGTTCTGGAATACCATAATGGTGTTTTTGAAAGTAAAACCATGATTGATTCTATGGAATATCTTGGTAGTTTTACTGATTAGAAAGCTAAAACTCTTTAGTGTTGCACTTACTGACATGGTTCGTAATGTGTTATCAAAAAGAAAAATTAAAACTTCAGTATTCTTACATTTTAGAATTTCATGTTAAAGCTGTTATTTCAATTTTTTTCATTTTGGATATAATCTG